AAACCAACTGGTCTCCACGCGACAAGCAACTGATCTCCACGCCGCAAGCAACTGGTCACCACGCCGCAAGCAACTGGTCGCCACGCCGCAAGCAACTGGTCGCCACGCCGCAAGCAACTGGTCACCACGCCGCAAGCAACTGGTCACCACGCCGCAAGCAACTGGTCGCCACGCCGCAAGCAACTGGTCACCACGCCGCAAGCAGCTGAGCGTCACACTGTCGTCAACTGGTCATCCCACTACGAACGTTCGTAAAACATTCATGCAGCTGCCACCACACTTGATGGCTGAGAGTCCGCACGCACGCACGCACGCACATATACTAACCAATGCCCCTCAATAAGCTACAACCAGTAGGCGACGGCACCTGGTGGTGATTCAGTAGCGAGAGACAAGCAGTCGATCTCTTTACCTTCCTCGCTAAGTTGCGCCCCCCCTTGCCACATTGCGTGACTGCAACACTCGTGAACAAGGCGCGAGCGACGAGACTCACTCACCCTGCCCAGTTTATCCACATCGATGTCAGCCTTCTTCGCCCACTTCTGCCAGAAGTTTGGATCGTCGATGTCAATATCCGTCCTGTTTCCGGAGGACGCAAAACTGGCCTGAAAGCAAGGAAACAATGTTGGGTATGCGTGATATCATTGTGTGGTATCATTGTGTGGTATCATTGTGTAATATCATTGTGTGATATCATTGTGTGATATCATTGTGTGATATCATTGTGTGATATCATTGTGTGGCTGCTGAACAATACAGGGCACAATCTCTACCACCCGCTCTTCTCGACTACAGTGAATGCTCCCCAACTCTCCCTCCTTTCACCTGCAAACTGCAAACAAATTGAAAAACGTTCTGTTGCTACAAGTTGTAACAACGGCTTCTCCTCCTGCTCCTCCTCACCCTCCTCCCTCTTACCTCGGAGAAGGTGCTTCCCTCCAAGCACCCCCTTCCTCTCCCCCGCCTCCTCCTCCTCCTCGTCCTCCTCACCCTCCTCCCTCTTACCTCCTCGCCTCCTCCTCCTCCCTCCCTCCCTCTCCTCTCTCTCTCCCATCTCACTCTCTCTCTCTCTCTTCGCCCCCCTCTCGTTTCTCGGTCACCCAATCACTAACCTCTCTTTCTCTCTCTCTCTCGCTCGCTCTGCCGTGCAGGTGCAGCAGCTGACCAAGGTGGAGATAGAGGACCTGCTGAAGAAGGGAGCGTACGGAGCGATCATGGAGGATGACACGCAGAACGAGCAGTTCTGCGAAGAAGACATCGATCAGATCCTGAAACGACGCACGCAGGTCGTGCAGATCCAGCAGGGAGTGAAGGGAAGCACCTTCTCCAACGAGTAAGGAGGGAGGAGGGTGAGAGACAGGAGAGAGGAGGAGGAGGAGGATGGGGCAGAGAAGGGGGAGGAGCGTGAGAGAAAGAGGGTGAGGGGGAGGGGAGGTCGTGCAGATCCAGCAGGGAGTCAAGGGAAGCACCTTCTCCAAGGTAGGAGGGAGGAGGAGAAGAGGGAGATGAAGGGGGAGGAGGGGGAGATATAGCAGGGAGTCAAGGGAAGCACCTTCTCCAAGGTAAGAGGGAGGAGGGTGAGGAAGAGGAGAGGAAGGGAGTGCAGATGCAGCAGGGAGTCAAGGGAAGCACCTTCTCCAAGGTAGAGAGAGAGAGAGAGAGAGAGAGAGAGAGGTTTATGACAGGGTGACAGAGAGAGGGGAGGGATAGAGAGAGAGAGAGCGAGCGAGAGACAGAGCAAGAGACATAAAGACATAGAGACATAGAGAGAGGTTAGTGTGATCGGGTGACCAAGAGACGGGAGGGAGAGAGATAAAGAAAGAGAGGGGGAGAGCAAAATAATAACACACAAAAATGATACACAATAACAAACAGGCACACGCATACGCGCGCGCGCACACACACACACACACACACACACACGCAAACTTGGCATACGTACGCTCACACACACACACACGCACGCACGCACGCACACACGCACACACACACACAAACTTGGCATACGTACCGGCACGGTGCAGTTCTCCTTCTCCTTCTCGCTTCTCATCGTCTGCAGCACGGCCTTGTCGAGCCCCAGCTTGAGGCTGGCCTTGTCGAACATCTCTCGTTCGTACGAGTTCCGTGTGATCAGCCGGTAGACCTTAACCGACTGCGTCTGACCAATGCGATGACAGCGTGCCTGCGCCTGAGAAAACAGCCACCAGGGGGCGCCGTTAGCTAACTTAGCGGAGGCGACTGAACAAGGGCTCGCCGACTGCTTTTCTTCTTAAATTTCATTTCCGAATCTTGCACTACAGGCACGGCGATTACTACGCACAACTACGCATCGAATAGCACTACTAAACCCTCGTCGCATACAAAACGCACGAGTCGCGCGACAACGAAACGTGCGTAGGCGGTGGCGGTACCTGGAGGTCGTTCTGCGGGTTCCAGTCGGAGTCGAAGATGATGACGGTGTCGGCGGCGACGAGGTTGATGCCGAGGCCGCCTGCGCGCGTGCACAGCAGGAACACGAACCTGCAGCGACGGAGAAACAGCCATCGTCACTCACCCTCACACATCCTGCTATCCCTCCCATGGATCACTCACCCTCACACATCCTGCTATCCCTCCCATGGATCACTCACCCTCACACATCCCGCTATCCCTTGTGTGGATCCCTCCCCCATACACATCCCGCTATCCCTTATGTGGATCCCTCCCCCCATACGCATCGTGCTACCCCTCTGTGGACCACTCCCCTCTCACGCATCCTTCCCTCGAGAATCCCCTCGCAATCGAATGACCGAGACACATTGCTGGGATTTCAGGCAAGCTGGAGAAGAACCAAGGCAAACACTCTCTACAAACAAGTTAGTCTTCTCCACCTTATGAAAGACAGGCGGAGATTTTTGGGCTCGGGGGGGGGAGGGGACCAGACGAGGACCAAAACACCAGCGTCCTTCTTATCAACACCTTATGACACATGGAGATTCATGGGATTTTTGGGCTCGGGGGAGGGGGGAGAGGGAGAGGGGAGGGCCAAAACGCCAGCGTCCTGCTCTGTACATACTCTCACCCACCTGTCTGAATCTGGCTTGCTGAAACGATCAATGGCCGCCTGTCGCAGGTCGCCACGGATACCGCCATCTATCCGCTCAAATGGATACCTACGGCAACGAATCAATCAATCATTCTACTAATCAATAAACCTCAGTCCAGGTGGTTCTGACAGGTAAACGGGGACCGAGGTTCTGTCACAAGGGTTCAACAGTTTGTAATGATCCCAATTGATCGATCAACCGAAGCCAAACAATTCGCAACCTCTTGTAGCCAACATATATATGCATATCCTTAACATTTACCAATGTATTTTCATTTCATATCTGGTTATCGACTCAACTAACACTTAACAACTTAACCTCGTGTCAATCACTCACTCCATGAATCAATTAATCAATCAATCAATCAATAAAGTAGTTGGTAACTCAACTAGCACACACCACCTGCACTTAATATAAATCACTTCCTCAATCAATCAATCAATCAATCAATCAATCAAGTAGGTGATAACTCAACTAGCACACACACCAACTGCACTTAATATAATTCACAAATCACTTCCTCAATCAATCAATCAATCAATCAATCAACTGAAGCCAGACTCACATGCGTTTGATGAGATAGTCCTCTAGGATGTCGAGGCAGCGCACCATCTGTGAGAATACGAGCACCTTGTGGCCGTCCTGCTTCAGCTTCGGTAACAGCTTGTCGATGAGAACGAGCTTGCCCGAAGACTGGATCATCGCCTGCAGGTGAAGCCCCGAATCCTCGCTATGGTCGGCGTGGTACTCGTTCAGAATCTTCTCCTCGGCGCCTGCAACGCGGAGGACGGAAACCATGACGACGATGACATTGATGACGATGATGATAATGACGACGACAACGATAATTATAACAACAATATTGACGACGACAACATTGATGACGATGACGATAATGGCAACGACATTGATAATGACAACGACAACAATAACGACAATGACAACAACAATGATAATTACAATAACAGCGATAATGACAACGACAACGATAACGATGACAACAACAATGATAATGATAATGATAACAACAATAATAATTACAATGACAGTGATAATGACAACGACAACGATAACAATGACAACAACAATGATAATTCCAACGACATTGATAATGACAACGACAATGATAATTACAACAACAATGATAATCACAACGACAGCGTTAATGACATTAGCGAAAATTTCCCGAACCCACAATTCCCAAACCAATTAACATGCTTTTTTCCCCGTTATATTCGAACCCTGTGTAACGAGATGCATAACCAAGACGACGACAACATCATCAGAGAACTGCTCCTGATTGGCTCACGATCTCGCAATAATTGAATCAATTAATGGCCTTTAATCCAATACCATCTCTTAATTAATTAGAGCATGAATTTAATGTGGTAGTTATGCCCTAGAGTTGACTCACAGCACCCAGCATGTTAGCAATCCTTAATGGGTTAACATTTGCCAACGAACCAGGGTTTCTTACACATAAGAGGCACAGTGACGCACCGCCGTTGTGAAAATGTTCATGTATTTACCTGCCGTTGTCAAAATAGTGTCAAGCTGTCAACCCAAAAATAAATAGATCATGTTTGCTCTGGCTTCTGACACATTTAGATTACCTGCAGCCCCCTCAGTTGTCTAATTTTGCCTCAGAAGAAACCCTGCGAACTGACGCCTCCTGATCAGTAAGGGCGCTGGTGCGTACTGTGGCACAGTAATGGTGGTGTCGCACCACCATTCGACACGATTGCAAAATAGGACGACTCATCAAAACGTCCATCACCGGTCAGCATAATTAACCAATCAATACGGCCAGCTAAAGCTCCTGATAGGGCAATGGACAGTGCGACGTCACGGCATAATGAGGCGCAGCGTGGACCTATATAGGAGGATAGGAATATTCGAGAGAGAAGGCAGGGTGTGGCACTGGCGTACGGTTGGGTTTGTGTATGTAGCCACATATGTATTAGAATAAAGCCGTCTATAATATATAAGACGTCTTCGACCATCACCGTCTACGCTCATTGACCGACGTGTGCGAGAACGTACGAGAAACAGCCTTACAGTACCTTTGATGAGATACGGATGGTTGCAGCACTTTCGCAGTTCCATCATGGTGTTCATGAGGTTCGGGACGTTGTTCCACGACGCGCCCTTCGAGAGGAATGCGAAGTTCCGCTCGATGATCGCGCGATAGTACTTCTTCTGTATGTTTGTCAGCTCCACCTGGTGAACGAAATCGCAAACACGCTCGTCGTTCACTGACAGTGGTTGTTAGAAGTTGACAGTAGTTGACAGAAGTTGGCAGTAGTTGTTAGAAGTTGACAGTAATTGGCAGAAGTTGGCAGTAGCTGTTAGAAGTTGACAGTAGTTGACAGTAATTGGCAGTAGCTGTTAGAAGTTGACAGTAGTTGACAGTAGTTGACAGAAGTTGGCAGTAGTTGTTAGAAGTTGACAGTAGTTGGCAGTAGCTGTTAGAAGTTGACAGTAGTTGACAGCAGTTGGTAGAAGTTGTGGGAGTCGGCCCGCTCACAATAGCCACGGGGATGGAAACGGTAATTACCGTGGCAACCGCTGCTACAGCAAAGTGTAATTAATGCAGAAATCCTAACATCTATGCCACTATGACTGAGAACTATGATTCGCGCAGAAATGACAACTACCATTTGACCAATAACACAGTAAAACCTCATGTAAAAAGACACAGGTCTATAAAGGTCAGACACCTGTCCTTTAAAACACCTCTGAAGTTTCCCTTCTGTGACTCTCATATACAGGTTGTCATCTTACCATCTATTTTATGGCAAGAAAGAATAAATGGGGTAACATACTTACTTCTACGTACGTACCTACTAATAGCTACATACCTCGATAATCGTTTCCTCCTTCGGTGCCAGAGTTTTTTCCACATCTTCTTTCAATCGACGAAGCATCATTGGCTTCAGAATCTGATATTAGCAAGAGAAACGATAATAATCAGACCAAGTTTTTAATAACACGTACGCTACACACAAAATAGAACCACTCCACCTGTTACTGTCGCTACCAGTACTACTAAATCATCTCCGAAGCTTAACCACCAAGAAAAGCATCCATTAAACAAGACGATTACAACATGGTGCACATGAACAGATGAAGATGAATTTCACCATGACAGGTCTTCACAGCGCTAAGCAAACTAAAATCCACTGCCCCTACCTATAACCCCACCCTAAATAATCAATCGCCACGCGGGAAAATTAGAACCACTCCCCTCCACCCCTTCCAACACCCACACATCCCTCTCCACTTCTCCACAACACCCACACAACCCTCCCCTGTCCCCTCCGCCCGCGTGCCCTGATGCTGTCACGTAGTGTTGTCAATCGGTTGTAATTTCGTAATCGATCATCGGTTGGACCCACGTAACCGATGATCGGTTACAATCGGTTACTCGGGGTGTTGAATGCCTGCGTGTGCGTAATGTCGTGTGCATGTACGTGTTTGCATGTATGTGCTTGTTTAGCCCTGTTTACTGTTTGTTTTGCACTGTTTACTACTGTGTATAATACATGTATGTTAATAAAGGATAACTTGTATAGTAGCAATGATATCTCGGATTCTCATTACTTTTCCAAGTTTTACATTTATTTCGATTTTTTGTTGTTGTTGATGAAATCGATTATGGATTTTGATAACCAAGCGCTTGGTTCAAGCCACTGTTCAAATGATAATCGATTATAATCGATGATCGTGACATCACTACTGTCGCGGCGCGACCACACGCACGAACGAACGACCTACCTGCTGGAGCTTCTCCACCTGGCCCTCCGTCTTCAGGTCCCCGAACTCCTTGAGGAACGCGTCGATGCAGCTGAACTGCTGAGCCTCGAGGAAGTTGAGCAGCGAGAACAGTTCCTGCACGTTGTTCTGCAGCGGCGTTCCGCTGAGCAGCACGCGGTGTTCCTGCGAACAGCAGCGAGAACCGCGTGAACATGCTACTCCGCGTGCAGGTCATGATGGTGCGAACATTACATAGCGTCTATATACCTACTCACTACCAACCACCCTCTACACTCCTACTCACTACCAACCACCCTCTACACACCTACTACCTCCCTCCCCTCTTCTCTTATCACTATCAGCCTCCCCACCTACTCTTTACTTACTACACTCTACTCTTTACCTACTACCTCCCTCCCCTCTTCACTTATCACTATCAGCCTCCCCACCTACTCTTTACTTACTACACTCTACTCTTTACCTACTACCTCGCTCTACTCTTCACTTATCAGCTGCCCCTTCTACTCTTTACCTACCACACTCTACTGTTTACTTACCAGCCTCTAGCTTCCACTTACTGACTTACCGCCCTGCCCACCTACTCACTACTAACCACCCTCTACTATACACATCCCCACCTCTCCTGCCTACTCTTTACTTAGGCCTAAAAAAATAAATGATGTGTTTCCGAGAACGGTCTTGGAAAAATTAGGTAGGGTAGACCTATAGGGATTATTTTTTGATTGATAATTAATTTTTGAGAATTGATAATTGATTGATTTATTTTTATTTTTTATTTTTTATTTTTTTGAAAATGGAGAAAACAAAGAGTCGGCCCCTATTTGCTAGGTAGGGTCGGGTTCTCGGAAACACATCATTTTTTTTAGGCCTTACCACCATCTACTCTTCACTTACCACCCTGCCCACCTACTCACAGCAGGGTTCATAGTAGTAAGACACATGTTGAAATAAGGACTTATAAGACTCTTTCTGGAGGCCAAAATAAGACTTTTTTACGCGATTTCTGATAGATGACCGACTATTAAAGTACGCTAATAATATTTATATAAAGCCGTTTCGCCGAAATTCAACACAGAAAATGTTGAAAAATGGTCCTTTAGCAAAAAATAAGGACTATTAAGTACTTTTCTAAGATTTCACCAAAAATAACTACTAATAAGGGCCCTTATTTTATTTTTGGCAAAATAAGTACTTATAAGACTTTGGAAGACCCGCTACGAACCCTGTCACTACAATTTACAAATCTACCGCCTCTCCCGCCGTCTCCCCGTAGCCACTCACCACGTTGAGTAGCTTCAGCCCTTCCATCAGCTTGCACTTCTGGTTCTTCAGTCGGTGAGCCTCGTCGATGATCACCACGCGCCAGGGAATCTCCCGCAGCTCGAAGCAATCCGAGATGACCACCTCGTACGTCGTGATCAGCGCTTGGAACTTGAAGAACTCCATGATGTACTCGCCCTGCCGATCACACGCACGCAGTTCCCGTTACAACCCGCACGCTAATTAATTAATTAATAAAATTTTCAAGATAGGTCAGAAATGGGGTAATTTAGAATTGATTACATTTTGGTGGTGATCCGGATCAATTAATTAATAAAATTTTTCACGGTGAGAGAATTGAGCTGCCTTGGCAGAGGTTAGTGCTCTCCGAGTGCTCTAGTTAAGAATGTTCTAGGAAATTTCGTGCATTTCTAGGAAAGAGTGTTGATTTTCACTTGCCTTCTCATTCTTGTAGTACATTTCGTATTCTCTGATCATGTTTCTGCTAGCAGCCCTGAGGGAAACAGAAACGAGCAACAATGAACAGTCTGAAATGCTGTAGGAACAGTAGGAACAGTGTGCATCAGAACATCAGGGTCTCCAACCCTGTGAACTCCAAATGCGGAATGTTCCCGCAGTGATCAGTAACTAGTGGCGTATTCAGAGATTGATGGGCAGGGGAGGGGCGAAATGTACCTTGGCTGCCGCAGGCAGGCCCGCGTGCAGTAGGCATGCCAGTGTTAAGGGGGTCTCGGGGCATCCCCCCAGAAAAATTTGAAATATTCCTGCCATTTTCCTGCAATCTGAGGCATACTGTGGGCCATATTCTCATGTCTGATAACACTATCTCAACCCTAGACTCAACCCTACAACCCTCGTCTGATTAGCAGCCAAACTACGCGACACCTTGCAGACAGCGCCTGTATGCTTAGGCTATTTCATTTACCGTATAGTATTTTTCCCCAGGGATAGATACAAAATGCCTGAATTAAAACAATGTGTCCAAGCGAACAATGCAAACAATCAGTGCACATTTTGTACAGTGCAACTGAAATGAGGAATATAACCTTGCCGCTGCAGAATGCGGAAATTAAGCCTAGAAATCGTAATGATTCCGCAGAATGAAGAATGGTTGGAGACCCTGGAACATGTATGTTCGCTGATTTTACTAAGAACAGCTAGGACCAGCATGCGTGACACTGATGTTCCGTGGCTTCACTGCCGAACATACGAACTACAGGCGGGAGAGTAGGGAACGGCGAACAGCGCACATACGTTCCGCGATTTCACTGAGAACATACGAACTACTGGCATGAGAGTGGCAGCGCACGTACGTTCCGCAATTTCACCGTGAACATGCAAACTACCTGGCGAGAGGAGGGAATGGCTCGCGGCACACATGTATTCCGCGATTTCACAGAGAACACGCGAACTACGGGGATGAGCATAGGGAACGGCTTGCGACCCCCGTACGTTCCGCGATTTCACAAGAGAACATGCGAACTACGAGCGAGCGAGCGGCGCACGTACGTTCCGTGGTAGACGATCGTGTTGATGTCGCTCCACGTCTCAAACTCTCGCTGCCAGTTCGGGATCGTGGAAAGCGGCGCAATGATGAGGAAAGGTCCTGTGATGCCGACCTGCTCCACGTCTAGCAAGAAGGCAATCGACTGTACGGTCTTACCCAGTCCCATCTCATCAGCCAGGATGCAGTTCTGTCTGCTCAGCAACAAACAACAACGACAACAACAGTCAACAACTGTTGATGCAATGGTACACGTCTGCTCAACAAAAATAACAACGACAACAGTGAACAACTATCGCACATCAATCTTTTCCCCAATATGTGCACCGATTTGCATTTTAAATTAGATAGGACAACAAACCTAGCACGTGATTTTTGCTCTCGCGAATCCAGAACCCTGTCTCTACACTAGCTGTTTCTTGTAGTTCTAGCAGCTTGTACTGAGCTTACAGTTCTAATGTTGAAATTGCACGCACACACACACACACATACAAACACACGTAGGCACGCACACGTACGCACGCACACATACACACACACGCAGGCGCTCACACATGCATGAATGCACACGCACACGCACACACAACGCAGGCACGCACACACGCATGCATGCACACGCACACGCACGCACATACACACTCGGGCATGTCGACACAAACAAACGCGCGCACGTGCACATAATCACGTACTTGTTGTGCCAGCAGAACGACAGCCAGTTGACTCCCTCCAGCTGATAGTCCCGTAGCACGTTGCCTCCCTTGTATGCGAGCGACTCCTCCAGCTTCTTCCACCGCTCGGCGCGCGGCCTCTTCTTGGGCTTCAACACGAGAGACAAGGAGCCAGCTTCAGCTGTTGCTCTAGTACTATAGCCCGCCCGCATACAGTTGCCGCAGGGCTATAGAACATTATATTACGAATGCTAGGGACCAACCCGCTGACTGGCGCTGCTGCAGCGCCACCAAAAATGGCCGATTGAAGTTCGTAAATCGAATGTTCGTTCACAAGAAATACCGCAAGCAGACCATTTCAACGATAGAGGTTAAATTTTAGTAGCTGACATAACTTAAGACATATTCAGTTCGGATAAGAGGCATTAATTGCCTACCACAAACGTTTTATAGCCGTTTTAGAGCTACTTCAGCTGTTGCCTGTTGCACTGACGAAGATTCACCGGCGAAGCTCTCTCGTTACCCATTAAAACTGGACGCGACGTTTACGCTAATCACACACTAATTTTAGCCGTCGTTACTATCGCGGTGCGTTCGTTGAGAATGCCGAGTCATGCTGCTAGGGTTGACTGTTCAACATACGTTTTTAGGGCGTGGCAGGCCCTGCCTGTGGTTTTTATCGGTAATTTCACGATACCAACGGGGAAGTCCGAGCAACACCAAGGCAAAGATTTCCATCAAGGATGGTTATCAATGCCACTGAACAATGCTCTTTAAATTGACTACGTCACAAATTTTCTATGGTAAAATTTGTAAAAAAAGGTGAATTTTTTACATTACATTTAAGAACTAACAGGACTAAACGTATCTTCAAATTCTTACCTGATAAGATTGTTTCTCAAATAGTTAAAAATCCAAAAAAACCTGGACGATTTGATATTAGTGTTCCTGACATTAATTG